GATGAAAGCGGCGTTTCCTTCTTGCCCACGCGGTATCTGGCCCTTGAATTTCCTGATAAGATCCGTGACCATGATTCCCTGCGGCGGGATAGCAGCGCGCACCATATCCGCAGACGGCAAGCTCGGCGACGTTGTGCCGGCGGTCGACGGCGAGGGCATGCTCGTGCCGGCGGAGCGCGGAATGGGACTACCGGCGCGCGATCCGGGCGCTGACGTCGTGGGCGATGCATCCCTCGAGGCGGTGATGCGGATCTTGGGTCGCGAGCGCTCCGTGCCGGATGCTTCGGTGTCTGAGCCTGATCCGGCGCCTGCGGCACGGCGGCGAGCGAGTGAAGCGGCTGGTGGCAGATTAGTATGACAGGTTCTGCGGCATGCTTCGAGAATGCAAACATACGTGACATTGGGCCCTTTGCGCCTGGTACAGACGGTGACATTGGCCGTGATATCTGCCCGTTGGCGCCTTCTTTCTTGATGCGCTTGCGCGATGACTCGCTCCCAGATGCTTCGGAGAGGTTGGGACTACCAGGCCTCTTCAGAGACGCTCCGGCCAGCTGCGAGCTGCGCAAGGGGTCGCCGTGTTTTTCACCACGACCAGACGGTGTGATTGTGCCGACTGATGATGGACCAGACACAACCTTCTCGCCATTGGCAGTGGTAGAACTCTTCTCTTCCTCCTTCTTCACCTCGTCTACAATTAGCTCTTCGTCCGTGGTATCCTCGCTCTCCTCCGAATAAGGGTGATCGCTCTCGGACTCATACTCGAACTTTCTTTCGTTCTTGACCAAAGTGCGCTTTAGTTTGCGCTGTCTCTTGCGCTCTTCTGACGCCTTCTTCTTCTCCGCCTCCTCTTCTGCATCCCAGTCTTTCTCCTCTTTCACACCTGTCCCGGCAAAGACATTTGCGCCCAACATCTCCTGGCGAATCTTGCGCTCGGACTCCTTGACCTCCTCCTCATCTCCGAGGAATAATCCGCCTTCATCGTCATCTTGAAATTCGTCCTCCGCATTGTAGTCGATCTCATCAACATCATTGGCGACCTCCGGACGCTCCTCATCGTCTTCCTCTTTGCGAGTTCCAACCCGCTCGCCTCGCATGCCTACTCGGCCCCTGTGGAGTCGCTGTTGACGTTCAGTCTCAAGCCGAGTCCTCTGCTCGTCCGTCATGGTATTCTCCAGGAACCATCGCGAGTCCTTGATCTTCTTTGCCATATGCAACTCTGCCTCGTCGAGATTCATTGTTTTGTACCTGTTGGTAGGGATGAAGCGATACCACTTTTCGAGGGGCACCATCCTGAAATTGCCATTGGCACCAACTACAAACATCGCGTGCGTCTCCGAAAGCGGTTCCTCGTATGTGCCTATCCACGTGTTCTTGCCATCGAAGTCTTCAAGATGCCACGGCCGTCCTTCCTCGTACCGCAACCTAGCACGTTTCTGTGCCTCTGGTGTGTCCTGCGGATAGTAGACGTCCTCGACCTTTTTCTTGAACTGTGGAAGCTTCTTCTTCTGCGTTACCTTCTCGGTCGGCGCGATTTGAGCTTGATTGGCCTCCTTTTGCGCCTGTCGTTCCGCTTTCCGAATTTCTTCCTTCTCACGATCCTTGTCGTCTACACCATTCTCAGCCGGCATGGGTTGCAATCTCTGATCCCGGGCGAAGCGACGATGCAATCGTAGAGGACGAGTAAACTGAGATTCGTCATACGGATTTGCCTCCTGCTCAGAGATCAGGCGCATCGCGTGATAACGGAAACCCTGTAGAAGAGCTTTCCTGCTAGCCACCAAAGGGAATTCGGTATAAGTCGAGGGGTCATCATCCGGGTCAGGCGCTTGGACTGGAGCTTTCGGTGCCGGCTTTGGCGCTGGTGTGGCGGATGCCTTGAGGGAGCCGTTGGTGACAGCCGTGTTTGCGGCGCCGGGCGCTTTCTTCACCATCGGCTTCCTCCTGGCCATGAAGGGATTTGACTGGGGCCTCTTTCGCTGTATCGCTATGGGAGAGCCAGCATTCGGAGTCGTCGAAGCAGGCCCCGACGGCGGACCGCCCGCTGGTGACGCGCTCATCTGAGCGAGCAGAGAGAGCTCTTTGCGCGCTACCGCTGTGTGCACATGAGGTAGTCGATGAGTGTCTTCCAGTCGATATGGAGAGAAATGACTAGCAATGGATCGAAATGGGGTGGACACGAGCAATAGGCAGACTCCCCAGCCTGGCTGCGCTCCACCTTTGAGGTGGTGGAGCGGACAGGGCCCGTGCTTGGCGTCGCACTTCACCTGCCGGCTGGCGGAGAGCAGCTATGTGAAAGTTCACCAGGAAACAGCTACAAATACCCACACACGTCCACTCTGCATTTTGCTGTGAATGGATTACACACAGTCCTCGCCCTTTAGAATAAGCACTGGTCGACATGGGTCACTTTCCGAGTCCTTCGGCATAGGAACATTCAATAGATCGCAACGGTCTGCTTTCTGCCCTTAGCACGGGTGGTTTGCCACACGTCTGCGAAATGACGCAGCAGTCAGGAGCTCCGGACTTCGAGAACGATATCCGACAGATGATCTTGAATAATGTGCGGATTGGGCCTTCTGATCAACAATCGGGCAATGGCGGACAGAACACAGGAGTGGATTCTCGTCACTACCCCAGCACCCGTGGACACGGCCGTGGCCGTGGTGGACATAATCAGCACTATGATGCCCAGCAGGCCGGTGAACGCGGTGGACATAATCAGCGCCGTAATTACCATCAGCCATCATTTCATCGTGGAAGTGGGCGTGACTTCGGGTATCAACCATCACGTGGACGCGGAGCGGAATGGCACAATCACAGCCCACAATCCTTTGACAATAGTGGAGCTATGCAACAGCATCAAGGGACTCAGCAACTCCTAAGTGATGGGAGCCAGACGTACGGCATTGAACAACGAAGTCCCACGATGGTTGATCACCAGAACAATCACTACACCCTGCCGCCATGGCACCGCGGTCGTGGAGGCCAACAATACGCCCCGCAGCATAGATCCATGCATGTTCAGACTAACGGCCATGGCTCTGTGGTAGCGGCTGGTAGTGTTGGCGCTCATCACCACGACGGTTATGCCAGAGCCCAACCACCTCCGGGCGCAAGATTGTGGTCAAGCTCCACTCCGCAGGGCGGCTATCCCAAACATGATGCAGCCAACTCCTATCCGCAGAATACTCATTCGAGGCCTGAGACATTCCGCGGTGGCTACGATTTGCGTCGCAAGTATCTTGATGACATTGCGAATGAGGTAATCCCAGCCATCGAGATGGATGCGGAAGAGCTGCAGTCCAAGGAAGCTTTTCGCCGCTCCCTGGAAGAGGCCTTTCATTTTGTGCAAAGAGAAGCCGGGTTCCCACTCGATGCCCCAATGTCTGTGCAAGATTTCGGAAGTCTCAAGTCTGGGCTTGCTACGAAAAGCTCCGACGTGGATCTTGTCATTGTTGACGAGAGTGGTAGCACTGAGCCTGCCCATATCTCTATGCGAGAAGATGGGCTTGCTAGACGACTCGAAAAGTATCTGCTGGACCGAGGAACCGGCGCTCGCCTCCTGACCCGGGCCCGTGTGCCCATCATCAAAGTTTGTCAAAGTCCAACTCCGGAACTACTCGATGCGCTCAAGAAAGCCCGCGAGCAATGGGATGCTCTACCAGAGGACGAGAAATATTGTGATCAGTCCATCAAAAAGTCCACAGTCGATCAAGCTGAACAAACCCAGGGCGCATCAGCAGAGCCCGCAAGCCAGTGTGAAGATTCCGTGAACAAAGAACTAGTTCCATCATTAGAGAGGGCAGCTCTGTCTGAGCGTTCTCAGGAGACTTTGCGCACCGAGAGCGAAGCGAATGAATCTCAGAAGCCACCTCTACAAGCAGAAAACAATCAAACACAAAAGCGCTGGCTGCGTGAGAAGAGGATGGGACCACTGGACTTCCCCAAACAAGGCGTCGGAATCCAGTGCGACATCAACTTCTTTAACCCTCTCGGTTTGCACAATACTCACATGCTTTACTGTTACTCTCTGTGCGACCCTCGAGTCAAGCCCATGATTCTGTTTGTGAAGGCATGGGCGAAAAGGAGAAAGATCAACAGCTCTTACAGCGGCACGCTGTCGTCGTATGGATACGTTCTCATGATATTGCACTACCTGATGAATATCGTAAATCCTCCAGTACTCCCAAATCTGCAACTGGAGGCTGTCAAGGCAGGTACGCCGGTGCAGACCATAGACGGGTGGGAAGTCTGTTTCTGGAGAGATGCTGCAGATATCCAGGCTGCAGCCAGGTCTCAGAAGCTTACAAGGAACCGTGAGTCGTTGGGAGCATTGCTTGGAGGCTTCTTTCAGTACTACAGTGCCGCCATGCGGGGCAATGCGTTCCACTGGATGAAATCTGTTATCAGCCTGCGTACGCCTGGTGGGATCCTTACCAAAGAGGAGAAGGGCTGGACTGGTGCAAAGACAGAAACAGTGGACACTGTGAGCAAGAATTCCTAAGCGATCCAAAAGGTTGATGATACTGACTTGTCCCAGAAGGAGATTCGGCACCGCTATTTGTTCGCCGTTGAAGACCCATTCGAGCTGACGCACAATGTTGCCCGAACTGTGACACATCCAGGCATTGTAGCGATCAGGGATGAATTTCGTAGGGCATATCGCATCTTGAATGCAGTGTGGAATGATCGCGAGCATGATGAAGGCCCATTGATGGGCGAACTCGTCGAGCAAGTTGCGCAGGAGGCATGATTCATGATCAAATGATGGGCTAGATAAAAGATATGATTGCATGATGATCAGTGCAAATCATAGAATGATGGAATTTGCTGACGTCTATTTTTGCTTCATAACGAAAAGGAAATTGCCTTGCTGCCCACTTCTTCTCAAGTCGTATAATGAGCCTGAGTGGTAGCGCCCAAAAAAACGCCATGCCAGATAGATAGTTATTACATATTATTTTTAAGAATCGAAATTGTTTCAGAATTGTTCTGAAATTGCCCCTATGGCGCAGTGGCTACCGCGTCGCACTTGTAGGGATTTTGTGCCTTGACATGCGAAGATCGCTCGTTCGACTCGGGCTGGGGGCAATGCGCGATTGCATTTTTGCATTTTTGCATTTTTGTCCAGGACATTGACCACTGTTCTACTGCACCTGCGCTTTGCAGCGCAAATGGTATAGATACTTCTGCAATGTTTTATTCAGGTACAGCAGCCCTGTGCAGTGCTAGCATTGTGGCAGCAACGCGACGCGATCCTGTACGAGAGACGCGTTACTGCCTCGCAGTAAAATTTATAGCAATAGTAAACAGAAGGGAACATTTCCCGAATCTTAATCATCTATCTCTCTGAGGTCTATCCTTTTTGCAAAGCTGCTAATTATAATAACAACAAACTTATCTACGATAAACCCACAACGACCAAGTCCGTACACACGTGGGACGTAGTGATACCGAATAGGGAAAGGGGGCTTGAGTAAATTCCAAGGATCGCTTCGGATTCTGCCTCGACCTTGGCAGCCTCAGCCAATTTATTTCGCGCTACCTTTTCGTCCTTGCCTGAATTTCGTTCAGCTTCCCTTACTGCTTATTACAATACGAAATTTCGACCTCATTTCTCGGGGCCAATTCCACTGGCGATCTCTTCCACTCGGTGTAAAGAATCAGACTCATCATCTATGGGCAACTCCAACTACGACTCAACTTCGCCTTTCCTTGGTCTTGGTGTCTTCACGACCTGCGGAGGAGCCTTGTCTGGACTGGTCGGTGTCGGCTGTGGATTTGCTATTCTCCCACGGCTAGGCGTGCGAGGTCCGTCTTGAAGGGCGGACGAAAACTCTGGACGACGATTCGTCCCATCTGAGAACAATCTTGAATTTCGATGTGAATCGAACCGGTCACTCCTGACTATATCCGCCGTGGCGATCTGCGACTGCTAGAAAGAGTAGGAATACAGTCTGAACAATGCCTGCCATGGATCTTGACCAACCCGAGCCTCTCCAATCAGAATGGCTCAAGCCAACGACCGTCGCATCACCACTTCGGAAGGTGCAGGGAAAGGATGGGGCGGAAGAGGTTATGCAGCAGCCGGCCGCGATTATGGCAGCTCCGCCTGCCCGTGCCAAAAAGCCCAAGGGCCGAAAGCAGAATACAATGGCACCCGCGGCTCCAGCGGCCAATGTGATTCGAGGTTTTGAGACGCCACTCTTAAACGGCGACGACTCTGATGCGTCGCGGTCTGGCTCTCCGATGATGCGCCCCATGTCTGGAGGATACGCTATGAGCCGCCAAGGTTCCAATCAGAGCGGAATCAGCATTTTGAAGCAGCAATTGGATAGCCTTGTGTTGGATGAGTCCAGCTCTGGTCTCGGTCTCACGCGTACCAACAGTTACGTGGGCTCTGAATATGGGGGTGGGGCGAGCACGACTGGCGGAAGTGAAAGCGACCGCACCGAGACTGAAACCTACGAGATAGAGCTTGAACACGACTTTGTGAGCTCCGAGGTGTGCGTAAAGCCCTCTCCACGCGTAGGGCCGGTGGAGGGAGGATTGCGCAATGAATCGATCCACCGCAAGATGACTGCAGCAGACTTCGAAACGCTGCGCTGTCTGGGCAAGGGGGCTTTTGGGACCGTGTTCCTGGTCAAGCAGCGCGCTACGGGGCGTTTATATGCTCAGAAGCAGTTCCGCAAGGCAAAACTCACGGTGCACAAGCGGCTGGTCGAACAGACGAGGACTGAACGCAACATTCTTGAGAGCGTCAACCGACACCCGTTTGTAGTGAAGCTCTTCTACGCATTCCAGGACCAAGAGAAGCTGTACTTGATCCTCGAGTACGCCCTGGGGGGCGAGCTCTTCACACACCTTGCATTGGAAAAGATGTTCACGGAGGAAGTGGCCGCTTTCTACATGGCAGAGATGGTACTGGCCTTGGAGCATCTCCAGACGAACGTGAGGGTTGTGTACCGTGATCTGAAGCCGGAGAATTGCCTGCTCGACTCCGAGGGACATCTGCTTCTTACGGACTTTGGCTTGTCCAAAGTGGCTGTGGAAGAAGACGGGCCATGCAACTCTATTCTTGGCACGATCGAGTACATGGCGCCGGAGGTGATCCAAGGCATCGACTACGGAATGGCGGTGGACTGGTGGTCACTGGGTGCGATTGGCTTCGATATGCTTACCGGTGCTCCGCCGTTCCAAGGTGCCAACAATGCCAAAATTCAGCAGAACATCCTGAAGCAGAAGCTAGCACTGCCGTACTTTCTCGGGCCGGACTCGAAGGATCTGCTTACGCGATTGCTGCGCAAGGAGCCGAACAAGAGACTGGGGTATAACATGCCCAAGGACTTGCAGACGATCAAAAAGCACAGGTTTTTCCGCCGAATTGACTGGAAGAAGCTGGAGAGGCGCGAGGTGACTCCACCTATCCGGCCGCTCATCACAGACCCCGAGCTGGCGGAAAACTTTGCAAAGGAGTTTACGGATTTGCCGCTGCGCCCGACTGTGGATAGGAAGGCTGAGGTTGAGGAGATGGACGCAAGCATCAAAGCGATGGAGAGCAATCCGTTTGGAGGGTTCAGCTTCGTGGCAAGCCACAGCCTGCTAGAGCGCGATCCGTGGCTGATGGAACAGTAGTAATAGCGTAATGTTTCATAGGATAGAAGCACGTCGGCTGAGATGCCCTGTTTTGGAGACGCGCAATTAGAGCAGGCTTGTAATCGTGCATTGTTCACTCATAATTCATAGTTAGCTCTGATCTTGTTCGTTTCCCTCGTTGATCTTAGTGATGCATGCATGATCCTTGTTCCCTGTCAGTGAATGTCACTTCGGTACCGCACATGCCCTTGACAGGGCTCCCACCTGCATCCATCTGCAAGTCACACGCGCTAGAGTCACGACCGCGTCTTGGATGTAACCTCACCTCCTCTTCGTCTGCTCTTTTCCCCTCACACAGACGATCTCCGCCGCCGCGCAGTCAGCAGGGAGTGGAGATGGGTGCAGATTAACCCACGTGGATCCCCACTTCATCTGCTCTATTCATCTCCTCTTCTTCGAGTATCAGGCACAAAAATGCCGCCGTGCACCACTCGGTCGCCGAACTCACCGATGATCACATCCCTGCTCTGCCACGGAGGGGCAGTCGTCTTTGTGCCTCGCGCTGACCATCATCTGCCATCGTCATTCACGGTCTTCGTTCCTGTCAGGCTCATCGGGGACTGCTGCGCCCGTGGCCTAAATTGACTTCTATCCTTCGGCCCTCATCCTTCTGCTGCATATGCCGGCTGCCGTCTTGTTTCCACTTGTGCCTGCGGTTTGCAGTGCCTCGGGACCGTCCGTTACACCTCGTGCCCGGCTCTCGTTCATATGTATTGTCTAGAGACCCTTCCATCGAGGTAGTCGTATATTTCTTACCCACTTCCCTCGTTTCTTTCTCTATTTTCGGTCTGTTTGTTCTCTAGGTCGTACGTTGACCCGTCGCTACCTGCATTCTTCATTGTACTCGCCTTCGAGATGGTTGCCGGTAAGACAGCCCTCGCGGCCGCCCTGCACTTGCTTGCCTTTGCTGGTGCCAATCCACTACCACAATCGTCCGGTGACGGCGACGACGACAGCGCGGCCCGACTGGCTGCCATTAGCGCCGCGTTTCAGACTGGCTTCGGTGGTTACGAACAGTATGCTTTCGGTTACGATGAACTCCTGCCCGTGTCAAACGGCAAGTCAAACAGCTTGTGAGTGACTGATCAGAGCCTTTTGTGGATCAGTAGATTCCTGACATTGCCAGTGGCGGCTTCGGTGCTACTGCCGTCGATGCGCTGGACACGGCCATTGTCATGGGTCTGCCAGACATTGTAGAGAAGATCCTGGATTTTGTTCCTACTATCAATTTCGCCGCGCCTGCAGGGGACGTCCAAATTAGTCTATTCGAAACGACCATCCGCTACATTGGAGGTTTCCTGGCCGCCTATGATTTGTTGAAGGGGCCGGCGTCCAATATGGCACCCAACGATGTGAGGAGCGACTCCTACAGGCTATTGAAAAGCTGGACTGACCTGTTATAGACGAGCAAAGTCGACGCTCTGCTTTTGCAAGCAACTGATTTGGCCAACAACCTCAGCTACGCGTTCAACACGCCGACTGGCATTCCGTACAACGGACTGTATCTAAGTAATCAAACCACCGACGGCTCCACTACCAATGGCCTGGCCACCATCGGCACGCTTGTTCTGGAATGGACTCGTCTCTCAGATCTCACAAACAATGCAACCTATACCCAGCTGACACAGAAAGCCGAGTCATATCTCCTAAACCCTCAGCCTGCCTCGAGCGAACCGTTTCCAGGTCTTGTGGGAACCAATGTCGATATCGCCACCGGGCAATTCCAGGATGCGTCTGGAGGCTGGGTTGGAGGAGACGACTCTTTCTATGAGTATCTGATCAAGTCTTACGTTTATGACAGCTCGCGCTTCAGCACCTACAAAGATCGCTGGGTCCTCGCAGCCGACAGCACCATCGCTAACCTGACCTCCCACCCTTCTTCGCGGCCCGATCTGACCTTTGTCGCCGAATTCTCCGGCACAGACCTCGTCCTACAAAGCCAGCATCTAGCCTGCTTCGACGGCGGCAACTTCATCCTGGGCGGTCTCGTCCTCAGCGAGCAGAAGTACATCGACTACGGCCTCGCCCTCGTCGCCGGATGCGAAGACACATACAACAATACAGCAACGGGCATCGGACCCGACAGCTTCGGCTGGGACCCCTCATCCATCCCCTCCGATCAACAAACCTTCTACGAAAAAGCAGGCTACTACATCACCGGACCAGCATACATCCTCCGTCCCGAAGTCCTCGAGAGTTTCTACTATGCCTACCGCGCCACGGGCGACCAGAAATACCGCGACTGGTCGTGGAACGGCATCAGCGCTATACTGAACAATACCCGCGTCGGCTCCGGCTTTGCAGAGCTGCAGAACGTCAATGTGCCCGGTGGAGGCGGGTTCAATGATTTTCAAGATAGTTTCTTCTTCGCGGAGGTGCTCAAATATGCTTATTTGATTCATGCGCCGGTGAGTCCTGCACTATCGAGACAGATA